GCATGGTTGCTGGCTCCAGCCTCCCCTTACCCCACCTGGGGTAACCTGCCGTGCCCCAGAGTGCATGGCATGGGTGTTCCCTGGGGACAAGTAGCAGCGGCACAAGGTGTACTGTTGCTGCTTCTCTCTGGAAACAAATGTCCGTGCTCATCTGGATGCACCCTAAGCATACAGCTAGTCAGGCTTTTTTCTCCCAAATTAAAAAATGGCCACTCCAGGAGAAAAATAAGCTGGGCACAACCAGGATTAAATCACTTTCAGGAGAGGTTCTCCTTGGACAGCAAATGTCTGTACATGCTGACAATGCAAGCTGATCGTGGGCTATCTGTTAGCCAGTCAGAGCTGCCCCATGTACTGGTATCTGTTTTGCCAGGCAGACTAAGCACACGCTCTTTTTTTTTTTGTCAAAAGGATTGGTAAAGAAATGGGTTATTGGGGAGAGGATCTTTAACCTGAATTTGTCAACATTTGTATTTGATGGTTTTTAAACTTTTCAGGGATGTGAACACTGCTGTCATGGAACTGCTGATAATGGCTTATGCCCTGAAGACGTCCTGTGCTAGGAATATCATTGGGGTCATCCCTTACTTCCCCTACAGCAAGCAAAGCAAAATGAGGAAGAGGGGCTCCATCGTCTGCAAATTGCTGGCTTCTATGCTGGCCAAAGCAGGTGCGTGCCTTGCAAGGAGACAGCCAAGAACACTAGCCTCCATCACTTGCTGACCTGCTGTGCATCTCAAGAGTCAGCTGCACTTGCGTTCCCTTTTTTCCTCCAGTCTGGGGACACGTTTCCAATCCTTGAGCCATCTAGGAGCTGATTTCTTCCATCTGGGGAATATTCAGCACATACCTGAGTGGAAATGCTATATTCATCTGCCTGCATTATGCTTGCTCTAGTGCTGTTTTTATGCTCATTATTGATTGTCAGTATTTTTTAAAGCCTTTAACTTGTCTAGCAATTACCTTTGTTAAAACCTGGCATTAAAATATTACAAGTAGAATGAGTAGAGAAACTTGGACATAATTTCAGAATTCGTGAGACTGCCATTGGGGTAGAAGAGACATCGTGACCTCTTGTGTTTTGTTTAGGTTTATCACACATTATCACGATGGACCTTCATCAAAAGGAAATCCAAGGCTTCTTCAGCTTTCCAGTAGACAACCTGAGGGCATCCCCATTCTTGCTTCAGTATATACAGGAAGAAGTGAGGTTACTCTAGTTCTGTTGATACTAGATGGCTTTTAACCTGTAGCTCACGTAACACGATTGCACTGTCTGTTCTTTTGCTTATGTGGGAATTGCTTTTATGGGCCAGACCAATAGTTGCTCTCTTCCTGTGTTCTGTCTCTGGCAGAATATCGCATGCTTCTCAGGACAGAGGAAAAGCTCTTTAACTTACCAAATTAAGAAATGCTCAACTGCACTGGCAATTACTTCCTGATCCCAAACTGAAAATGTGTCCTGAAGCATGAATTTCATTGTTGCATTCAGTCGTTTTCTTAGCATCATTTGATACGGTATTTTGTATTCATGCCTTTTAATCACTTTTTAAATCTTCTTAAGCTGTTCTCTCCCCAGTCTCAAGTGAATGACTGAGTTACCCAAGTTCTTGATGGACTTTGTCATGTTGTTTCCAGGAGCACTGTGCAAAAGGGGCAGGGGGAGGAGGCCATTTTTTTTTTTTTTTTACCAAGCTATTAAAAAAACTGATTTGGATCCCAACATCGCGATGCAGATTGCAAGAGTGGTGGATTTTAATGGAGTGCCCAGGCTCTCCAGAATAGCATGGTACAACCAGCTCAGCCTTTCATTCAGGATGGAGAAATTGAGTACAGTGAGTGTAGCTTCCTTTTTTCAGGTATCTTGAATGAGAGACTGGAAAGAGGTCCTGTACCTCACAGATTTCATTAAAGGTAGGGAGCAATCCCAATGAACCTTAACCAAAAAAAAATATTTTCCTATTCCTTCTCCCATTCCTTTCCTTGGACAGGATGTGCTGAGAGCTGGTTAACTCTTGCTCTTTGCCTTGGATATGCTGCATTCAGCTTTGTGCCCACTATACATACCACATTTTCTCACCTACAACATGATTTA